CAAACTAAAATCATTATCCTTCTCCAATAGTTCTATCTCTTGGTTCCAGTCTTTCCTCTCACAACGAACCCAAGCAGTTTCCATATCTAATCAACCTCTATCTGCCTACCTTCCTTTATCTTCTTGAGTTGCACAGGGTTCAAGCATGTCTCCTCTTCTTTTCAGCTCTTATATTAATGACCTAAACGATTCAATCATCCATTGTTCCCACCATCTCTATGCCGACGATTCTCAGATCTACTTATCCTTTTCTCCCGCTGAGTTATTGGTAGCATTTGCCAAAATTCAAGAAGATTTAGATGGAATTAGTGCCTGGGCCAACTAAATGGATTAAGGCTAAATGCTGCCAAAACTCAGGCCATTCTCATTGGTTCCAAGCCCCTTCTTAGATCCCACACCAACTTTCCCTCACTCTATCTAAACAACCTCCCCATCACCTTCTACCCCTTTTTTTAAAAATTTAAGCTTTTTCATAGATCAAACCCTTTCCTGGAATCAACATATCTCTCATATCTCCCACCGTGCAATTTCTACCCTCAAATTATTCCATTACTTCCGCCATCTTCTACCCCAAAATACCCGTAGACTCCTAGTTTTCTCTCTCATCTTTCCCACTTTGACTTCAGTTGTGTGGTGTACGATGGCCTCTCGGTGGAACTCCGTGATAGACTCAAAAGATTTATGAATAGCTTTGTAAGATTTGTAATTGGGACCCCGAGACGCTACCGTGTCTCCCACCACTACACTGAATTAGGGTGGCTCTTCCCTTCCTTAAGAAGACAATATTTCCTAGGCACTTTCCTTTATCAAATCATTACCGATCGATCATCGTCCTTCTTATGCCTACAACCTTCTCCAATTTAAGTCCTCAATCCATTCCCTCACTACAAGATCTCGACCCTCTGACCTATACATCCCTTCTCATAGATCTGCCTCATTCCAAAACTCCTTTATAGCCCGCTCTGTCAATTTTTGGAATTCCCTCCCGATCAAAATTCGACATGTCCCTTCCCTATACTCATTCAAAAATCTCCTATTCCAATTCCTGTTCCAAAAACAGTTAGATACCAGCTAACTATTACTATATATGTATTGTGTAGCAATCATATTATCATAATACTTGGTAAGAGATAGAACATACATTTCCTATTATCAATGTAGGAATTAAAATACATACATTTTTTTTTACTCAATTATAATTAACTGTTTATTTTTATATATATATATATTCAAGTAAAGTTTTTTTTTTTTATGAAATGGACTCATTCTATCTCTTTTTCGTTCTTCATTTCTCAAAGTGTATGTTTATGTTGTTCAACCCTTATATAAAGTTTTGTTCATAGTTCAAATGATTCGTTCATAGTTTTAATTGTTTTGTTCATAGTTTTAAATGCTCTGTACATAGTTTTATCTGTATTGTATATAGTTTGTGCACCTAAGGTTTTCTTTACTTTTTTATCAATTTTATTTTTTGTTTCAAACTTTTAGGCCAGTAATATTCTATTATTTTGTACAATATTGTTATTCTAAAGGGACTTAGTCCCAGAATAAAGTTTTTTTTTTCTATCTATCTATTTCTATATTGAAAATAAAGAAAATAGTGAAATAGAAAAATAAGTGTAGATTTCAACTATCAATTGTAAGCAGGAATGAGTATAGAAAAAGATATAGTTTAATTTAAAATAAAATAAAAAGCTCCTGCCTATCTTTCAAAATAATAGTAAAAAGGTGAGATAAAAGTCTGTACGTGTATAAAATGTAAAAGAATAAAAACATAGGACACTCAAAATAAAAGTATTGGGGGAAACACTGTAACCTATTTCTATATCATCTTTTTTGTAAATTATGTTGACAGAGGAGCCATCCTCTCTGCGATATTTAATTTTTCCTCCAGCTTTACACACGAGTGCAGAACCAGGTCTTTTTAATTGTTGCAATACGTCAGTCTTCGAGATATTACAACATTCTTTATTTATGGTATATTAGTTTGCATGTAGAAAAAACAACGTAATTTATCGTCTTCTCCGATCGTGTTTTTACATTTCGGACACAGAGTCAACATAAATCAGCTAATGAACTGAGCAATAAAGTATTAGACACTAATAGAGGTGGTAGGGAATACGAGATGTAGTGAGGCTAATATCGATCCTTATCTCTTGTTTAACCGTCTCAATAAACTTTAACTTTATTGCTTAAATTTTTGTTTTTAGGTAATAATAACCCAAAATCACCAAGCCAATCAATAAACAGGGCACTTTTAATCTTTACTAAGTGTAAAATGAACTAAATAACACCAAGGCCACGTGGACTATTCTTAGAAAATTGACCATTGGTAATGTACCCCAGTCTCAGTCCAATTCCGTTTCCACTGATAACCTCAACGCTCACTTTGTCTCCTGCCCTCTTGCAACCACATCTCCTATGTCCAGTGCGGTTCCTATGTTCTCTTCCTTCAATCCTGATCACTTCTTTCTTTCCCATATTACACCAGATGATCTCCTTAAATCCATTCAGAAGTCCTATACCAATGATTACGGTCCCAACAACATCCCAGTCAGACTGATTAAAGCCGCATTGCCATCCATTCTTCCGATCCTTCATCATATATATAATTATTCTCTTCAAAATGCTACCTTCCCTACATCCTGGAAAACCGCCCTAGTATGCCCCTTGAAGAAGACCTCAAACTCATCAGCTCCTAATGATTTCCGACCAATTTCTCTCCTTTCAAACCTCTCAAAACCTTTAGAGCGGTTAGTCCAATCCCAGGTATCCTATTTTTTAGAGGACAATAATCTCCTAAATCCCTACCAGTCCGGTTTCAGGCCTGGTTATTCTACTCAGTCTGCCCTAATCAAAATTTCCCAAGACCTTCACACAGCCATAGATCAGCAGAAACTAACCATCCTTATTCTCCTAGACTTCTCCAAAGCCTTTGATTCAGTAGACCACAACATCCTCCTAACCAAACTTAAAAATATCTCTTTTTCTTCTAGTTCCCTTAATTGGTTCCAATCCTTCCTTACCGGTCGCTCCCAGTATGTTGTAATTCCTAATGACCCCACATCAGAATCTCTAGTTCTGCCCATAGGCGTCCCACAAGGCTCTTATCCCGCTTATCTCTTATCCCCCACCCTTTTCTCCGTCTGTATAAATGACCTCCCATCCTCTATCCTGCACTGTCAATACCACCTGTATGCCGACGACATTCAAATTTACCTCTCCTTTAATCCGACCGATTTCTCAAATGCTATTCTAAAACTTCAGGAAGACATTAAAAGAATAAGTGCTTGGGCAAACCTCAATAGGCTTACTCTGAACGCCGAGAAGACAAAAGCCATCTTGATCGGATCCCCTAACTCCTCAAATCCTCCCCGGTATCTCCCAATCTCCTCCTGAAAAACTCACCTATCTTATTCCACACCACCGTTAAAAACCTAGGTGTTACTTTTGATCAAAGCCTATCCTGGAAACCTCACATCTCCCAAATTTCCTGCTGCACTATCTCCACCCTAAAACAGTTCAATCGTCTACGATATCTCCTTCCATATAAGTCCCGTCAACGTGAGGTTTCGAGGCCAAACTTAAACGTCTAATGAATTGTGCACTACCCATATATTACCCAGTATTACACTGAGTTGAGGTGGCTCTACCCATCCTATCGCCGTCAGTACTTCTTAGCCACCTTTCTGTACCAAATCATTAGAACTCATCGACCCTCCTATATTTTTCACAGCTTACAATTCAAATACTCCATCCAATCCTGTCCCACTAGATCTCGTACTTCCGACCTCTATCCTCCTCCTCACCGAACTGCTGCGTTTGACAAATCCTTTGCAATACAAACCGCCTCCCTCTGGAATTCCATCCCTGCTGATATTCGACACCCTCAATCAGTTTCCTCTTTCAAACCTCTCCTCTTTAAGAACCTACTCCTTTCTCAATCCGACTGATTGTGAAATATACTTAAGAGAAATATCTAAGCACCACCAGAGACTACCTCAATTTATTAAGATTATTTTAGTTTCTCATATATATGTACAATTTACTTGTTCCTTTCTTTCTCTTTTCAGTATTTTTTCTTTAGTCAACTCTTATTGTAAAAATACAATCTAATTGTAACCACACAGACATACAATCTGTATTTATATTTTGTTCTAAGGGGACAACAGTATCAGAATAATAAATTTTTCATTTCATTTCATTTTCACTTATAATAGAACAATTGTAACTTTAGAAATAAGACGAGAAACACCAATCTTAGCTGTATAAAGGCTAGGGCCAGACTCAAATTAATATAGTTTTTTTTTTCTGTTCTTCCCTACCTCGCCTTTTAGGCTATACGGGATTTTCCCGGGCGGGGGGGGGGGGGGTGAGGACAGAGAATTTAAAATCACCTCCGGCACCAGGAAGCGTACTCGTACTTTTTAATCTTTTCAAATCTATCCGGTTGCCAAGTAGCTCGCGGTGCAGTGCATACGCTTTAGCCCATTCGGCCACCCCACTCCCAAAAGTATTGACAACGGTGGGAACTGAACAAGGACATTGTTCTTCAATCTAGAAAAACTGGAACCTTTAAATCAACAAGGAAGCTTATTATTTACATTTCAAGTCCAGACTGTCCATCACTAGACTCACCCAAGTTGCTGTCATATTAACAGTTACTGTATAGAGATTTATGATTGTCATCTAAATTCTTTAATTTTTTTTTCGAGACCAAGCTTCTACGTCTTTACTTAAGTAGCTAATCAGTTATCCTAAAGAGACAGAAATGACATTTCAGCAGATGCAACTACAATCAAAGATCCTCGCCCCCAGAAAAAGAAAAGAAAAGATCTCTAGAGGTCCTAGAAATCGAACCTATATAACTATAAATCACAGTTAGTAATGAAATAATCATGACTAAAGTAATATTGTATTTAACATTTTTTATATTTTTATAAAAATCTAAAAAATTTAAGGTGATTTATATCAGTACATTATATAATATAATTACAAACCTTCAATCCAGAAACAGCAACAAAGTTTCCACAATAAACAGAAGATACTTCATTGATCTCATCAGCGAAGACTTTATACAATGATAAAGCTTTATCTGCTTTCTCCTTATGTAAGTTATAGACTTTTTGACCCTGCCAAGAAATTAAAATAAATACATATACATATGTGTGTGTCTTAAGCACTTGAAGTTCAGTAAATAAATATACAACTATTTTTTTATTCTATTAAAACTATATCTTAACCGTCCTTCAGAATAAACACCCTAGCAAGAAGAAAAAAAAAGGCTCTTCATAGCCATCTAGGTGAAGAGTGCCTAAAAATTATTAGAATTCATAAAAATTTATATATAGCATTTCCAAGTCAATTTCAACCTTTTCCAAATCAAGTTCAACCTTTTCCAAGTCAAATTCAACCTTTTCCATTTCAAATTCAACTTTCGAATTTTTGTCAATTTTCGATTTTTTTCTAAATGAAGGCCACTTACTATATTATCGAAGGCATAGCTTTTGAAAAATACAAAAGAAATTTTGATAACGCGGTTGCATATCCATTTATTTTAACATTTTAGATTTTTTCAGTGTGATATTTCTATGTTATTTCCAAGTCAAATTCAACCTTTTCCAAGTCAAATTCAACCTTTTCCAGATCAAATTAAACTTTTTCCAAGTCAAATTCAACCATTTCCATTTCAAATTAAACCTTTTCCAATTCAAATTCAACCGTTTTCATTTCAAATTAATGTTTTAATTTTTTTTAAATCATATATTTTTTTTTTTTAATAATGACTATCCCCTCCCCCCCTCCAATATGAAAGTCTATTATTATGCTCTCCTAAGTAGAATTTTCACTTACGGATATCGATTTATTGTACCTATTCGGATTTATTAGGGACTAGTATTATGCTGTCCTGTACATAGTTTTGAAAATAACTCCCATTTTAAGATTAAGTGACTGCGTTTCGAATCATTTAAGTTTTTTTGACTTATTCGATATAAGGGTGTATTTTTATGTTTCCCGATCAGTAAATTTTGAAAATGACATCCTTTATGTTTACGCCACTGTGTTTTGACTTATTTAAGTTTTTAGAATTTATCCAATATAAAGGTCTACTTTTATGTTTCTGGAGCCGTAGATTTTGAAAATGACCTCCATTTTAAGATTAGGCCACTGCGTTTCGGCTTATTCAAGTTTTTCGAATTTATCCAATTTAAAGGTCTACTTTTATGATGCCGGAGCCTTAGTTTTTTAAAACGACTTACATTTTAAGATTAGGCCACTGTGTTTCGTTTTTTTAAGTGTTTTTGATTTTTCCTTCGAATAAAAAACAAAATACGAAGGATTAATTTATTTTTCAATAAATAAATAAAAATATCTAATCAAAATAAATAAAATATGTATTGTCTCATTTTTAATTTAATTTTAGTTATCTTTTTTAATGTTGTGGTCTCCTGTCACAAAATTATAAGATTTCGAACAATTAGCTGAAAAATCTGAATACGGAAGGTTAAATTTATTACCAGCTGCTTTTCGGCTTTTTAGTTTGTATTCTGTGGTTAATTTAACTTTAGCTTCATAATAATTATTTATTTATTCATACTTGAAAACATATTGATGAAACTTTGTATTGAAAAAATCCAAAATGAAGCCTAATTATTCGAGATGCAGCGGCTTAATCATAAAATGGAGCTTAAATATTAGATAAATTTAAATATTAAAGATTAGAAAAATTTCAATACGTCTCGGATAACATATAAGTAGATCCTTATACCGAAAAAGTAAAAAAAAAACTTTTGTAATCCAAAACACAGTGGCATAAACTTGAAATTGGGTCATTTACAAAATGGGGGAAATCTACTGCTCCAGAAACATAAAATTAGACCTTTATACTTGTTAAATTCTAAAAACTTAAATAAGTTGAAACGCAGTGGCGTAATCATAAAATAGAGGTCATTTTCAGAATCTACGGTTCTGAAAACATAAAAGTAGACCTTTAAATTGGATAAATTCGAAAAACTTAAATAAGTCAAAATGCAATGGCGTAATCATGAAATGGAGGATATTTTCAAAATCTACGGCTCAAGAAACATAAAAGTAGACCTTAATATTGGATAAATTCGAAAAACTTAAATAAGTCAAAACGCAGCGGCGTAATCATAAAATGGAGGTCATTTTCAAAATCTACAGCTCCGGAAACATAAAAATACACCCTTACATCGAATAAATCAAAAAAACTTAAATAAGTCGAAACGCAGTGGCGTAATCTTAAAATGGAGGTCATTTTCAAAATCTACAGCTCCGGAAACATAAAAATACACCCTCATATGAAAAATATCCGAAAAACTCAAATAAGTCGAAACGCGGTGGCCTAATCTTAAAATGGAGGTCGTTTTCAAAATCTACGGCTCCAGAAACATAAAAGTAGACCTTTATATTGGATAAATTCTAAAAACTTAAATAAATCAAAACACAGTGGCGTAAACATAAAATGGATGTCATTTCAAAATTTACTGATCGGGAAACATAAAAATACACCCTTATATCGAATAATTCAAAAAAACTTAAATAATTTGAAACTCAGTCACGTAATCTTAAAAAGGAGGTTATTTTCAAAAACTACTCATACGATAACAGACCCACACATCGAAAAATTGAAGATAATTAAATAAATAAAAAAAGGTTGAATTTGAAATGGAAAAGGTTTAATTTGAAATGGAAAAGGTTGAATTTGACTTGGAAAAAGTTTAATTTGATTTGGAAAAGGTTGAATTTGACTTGGAAAAGGTTGAAATTGACTTGGAAATGCTATATACTTTATAACATCAACATTTTATTCTGGGATATTTGTTCTCACCACGAAGACATACATTTTTGGATGATAAACTGTGACGAGGATGTTAAAACATTTTTGACTGAAAACTAAACAATGAATGTAGAGCATGAGAATGGTATAGATATTAAAAAATATATCCAACTTCTTGAAGAATCCAACCAACTCGATCCTCTTCAATCTGGTTTCCACCCTGACCACTCCACCCAATCAGCCCTAATTAAAATTATCAGTGATGTTCAGGCTACTATGGAGTAAAAGGAATTAACTATCCTTTTCCTCCTCGACTTCTCCAAAGCCTTTAACTCCATTAACCATTTTAATCCTCTTTTCTCAACTAAAATCATAATCCTTCTCCAACAGTTCCATCTCTTGGCTTCAATCTTCCTATCTTAATGTTTCCATTCCTAATTAACCAAATTCTTCCTATCTTTCTCTGTCCTGAGGAGTTGTCTAGGGTTCTAGCATATCTCCTCTTTTTTTTAGTTTTAGTCTATATAAATAATCTTCATAAATCAATCCTTAATTGTTCACATCATCTTTATGCCAACAATTCCCAAATATATTTATCATAATCTTATTCCAAGTTATTTGTAGCATTTGTCAAGATTCAAGAAGACCTAGATCGAATCAGTGCCTGGTCAAACTTTAACAAATTAAGGTAAAATTTTGCTAAAACTCAGGTCATTGTCATTGGTCCTTCTCCGATCCAATTCAACTTTTCCACACTATACTTTAATGACCAACCCATTACCTTCAACTCAATGTTAAAAAACTTAGGTTTTTCCATTAATCAAACCGTCACCTAGAATTACCACATATCCAACATCGCTAGACTATCAATTTTCACTCTCAAATCATTCCATTGATTCTGCCATGTCCTACCTGAACCTACCAGTAGACTCTTAGTTTCTTCCCTCATCTTCCCCCACTTTGACTACGGTTGTCTCTCTATTACAGACTGAAGAAAACTAGACACACTTTCTTCAAATGCAAATAGAACTTTTCTTTGTTAAAAAGTTTTAAGCAGCTAAACCATTATCTTACTTAGTTTTTTATTGAAGAAAAATAATACAATCTGCCACAATCTAGGGCATTGAGCATTATGGCTCTATTGTTTACATTCATACATTTTATATACAATTTAAAATATAAATTGAGAAAAAAAATAAAATAAGAAGAAAACATGTAAGTAAAAATATATACATTAAAATAAAAAAGAAAAACTTGTAAAAAGGAAAAAAAAATACATTCAAAGAATAGTAAAGAAAGAAAAAAAAATACTTGACACACATTCATTCCTATGTACAATATTTACATTCAGCCTAGGGAACTCTGAACCATGCCTTGCCGCTCTCACGTGAAAGGCAAGGCAGGGCTCAAGGAGATCCCAGCGCTTCTCTCCCAGCTGCATCACTGTTTAAAAGCCAGTGGAGACTGAGTAAGAGCGCTAAATCCACATACGCTCAGGACTTGAGTGGAGAAGCTGGCCAATGTCAGAAACCCAATAGAATATTTATAAAAGATCTCAGAGCCATTGCCGTTTCATCCTTTGTGGGGGATTATGTGGATGGTTGGAGCTGAAACAGCATTGTGCTAAGGGATTAGCACTGGTATAGTAAAGGCAATTAACTTTGTAGATGTCCTCGACAACAGGCGGTTGTTCAAGGTCGACAAAAAATTAGCGGTAAAGCTATTTTATTCTTTACTCTGGTATTTTCCCTTTCCTCTTCATATACATTTACAATTTGATGAACCTGAAATCCCTTAGCCATCAATTCTTCTTTTATAATATCTAGTGGTGTAGAGGGATGAAGTCGCCTGATTAAGACCCTGAGCGCTTGCTCCTGGCCTAATTGATATGTGTGAAAATCTGCATTGGTATCAGATAGATATTTCACAATTTTTCTGTAGGTTTCTGGGGTGTCAGGTAATAATCTTGTGTCATTGGTGCGGCTTAGATATGGCTAAACTACAGCCAGTTTTATTTTAAATATAATAATCAATTTCTTTTTATCAGCATCCTATTGGTCTACTTAGATTAAGAGACTTTCTTCTGCATATGCAACAGTTTAATAAATTATACTTGCACTTACATATTGGAGAGTATATATAAATATTTTACTGTATTTTATTTAATATTTATACTACCCTAAATTAGGTTCGTAGTATACTTGGTAAAATTAAAACTGCATTAAAAAAATAACAGTAAGAAATAGATGATTTTTAAAAATTCCAGGGGTCTCCTAGGATAACATTTATTAGTATACATCAAGGTACCTTCACACCAAATTTAGTGCTTTTATCAGCCATGTAACAGTAGTGACTACTAAAATCATATTGATAGATCAAATCAACAAAGATGCTTTCAAGCTGCATGCAGATAATTGGAAAGCAATAGCCCAAGATATGCAGAAATGAAGAAGGCTTGTTAAGGCAGCAAAATAAAAGAAACAAACAAATAATTTTTACTCTGTGAAAAAAATAAATAATAAGTTATCTTTGCTGAAAATAGTGCTAATTTGAGGAGACAGAATTTTAATTCACATAAGTTTTTTTACAAAACTGGTGGTGAATCTCTGCTTATTTAATGAAAAACCTAATATGGGCTTAAAGATTATCAAACAAGGAAGTTATGCAAAAAGTGGAGAATGTGTAGACCAATAGGAAGCTGATAAAAATAAATTCATTATTATATTTAAAATAAAACTGACAGTAGTTTAGCAGCTTAAAATTTTTTAACAAAGAAAAGTTCTATTTGCATTTGAAGAAAGTGTGTCTAGTTTTCTATGTTGCAATTGATAATTGTAGGGTCTAGGATTCAGCACTTTATAAGGAAGCAATGTTTCTTGGTCAACGGTTGAGCAAGGAGATGATTTTACCGAGATTATGCTAATCCTCCAGGTCTCTCTACAAAATTAATTATTCAATTAAGAGTACGAACTTTGTAGAGGCTAATTATGCTTCAGGATCTCCCAGGGTCATTCCATGAATAATGTACCATAATAAATAATTATCTGCTAGAGCCGGACATAAAACCAGGACCCAGAGCATACTCAATGCAATTAGTAACTGAAATGAATCAATATATATATTTTTTTATTGATTCCTATACAATGAAAAACTGACCAAAAATACCACAAAATTTCAATATCTAGCTTTTATTCCTGGAATTGAACCATAGCCTACACTGTCAGTAGTCAAATTTGTTTGTTGCAGCACATTTTTGGGACTGAAAAAGATTCATGGTACTTTTGTCAGTATAAAAAAATTGCCATACCCTTGCCAAAGTAAAAGAAATTCTTAAAAACAGTTATTCTCAAAGTGGTAATTGCCCATTTCTGTTGCAATATATATAGACCAAATAAATTTAACCCAAATGTTATCTTAAATCTGATTTATTTTATTTTAAATTCTGTTATTAATAAATAAAAAGTATTAATTTTTAGAAATATTGAAAATTTTGGCCCTTACATTTAGATATTGAAAATAAATATTATTATCGGAGCACCCAGTTTGAGATCCCTGGTCTACACAACCTTTTTAAACCTTTTATGGCCAACAATCACTTTCTTAAATATTGCTCATTATTTTCAGAACAGCCTGTATAAATAAAATATAAAACATTGTGAAAACTTTTAATTTATAAAATTTTAAAATGGCACTATTTTTATAATGCTTCAAGAATGTTTTGAAAGGCAATATTACAACTAAGACTATTAAAATTTATGATATAAAAATCTGGAAATCGAACTTTTTTTAAGTTTCCAGAGAACATTCTAAAAAACACTAGGGGTCCTCTTTGCTTATCATGCATAACTTTGAAGGATTTTCCTATAATATCATTCTTAAAAGAGTTCTGAATTTTACATCCTGAAAATTCTAATGGCGATGGTAAGAACTGAATTACAGCATCCAATAGTGTTTCTATTCCTATGTTCTTATAGGAGCTGCCACAAACAACAGGAACTCCTTTCTGGAAAAAGAAAAAACATTTAGACAATAAATTATGAATGAAATAATATAAAATAACTTAGAATTATAATTATCAAAAAAAGCTTCTAAATGTTTCATTGATTTTTTATTACTCAATGTTTCAGTATTTTAATCCCATTTCCAAAACAATAACTTCAATGTTCATTGAATAACAAATATTTCTTTAATCGAGTGTTACAGCTTATCTAGATACATTTTAAATAACTTAATTATAAATAATTTACCTTTCTTTGTATATATTCTGTTTTTTGCTAAACATAAATACAAATGAACAGGGTACTCTGGTAAAATTAATGCTAATCTTAAAATAAAATTATAATTATTAACTTTGTTCATAAGTCCTAAGGAAAATGTTTATTTATATAAGGTATATGAAATAAAGTTAATAAATGACGCTTCGGGATCCATTTCCTTATCCTATCTGCAGACCCGAAACAAGAAACATTTGTGTTATTTGTAATTATATTTTTAAATGCATATATTTTTATAAAGTATCATATCGATTTTGTACAGAGAAAAAGGACCAGAAGAGAGGACCCTAAGTCACAAGCAATCGTCGTGCGGTTCGTCCACAAGACGGTGCGTGACAAAGTCATCCCCTTACGCAAGGTCAAGAGAGACTTTTCCACACGTCATCTCTGCCGGGACAGCAACGAGATGATTTATCTGGGCGAAGAAATGAGTCCAGGTAATAAACATTTATACTGGTTGGCTAGGCAGAAAAGGACGTCAGGTATGCTAAAGTACATATGGTTCGCTGAAGGAAAGGTACAATACAGAAGACAGGATGGATCCCCGGTCATCGTCTTCAACAAAAAGGAAGACATCGAATTGCTGGAATCAAATATCTTTTTTACGAATATCTTTTATTTTCATTTTATTTTTTAAACATGTTATTGTTCTTTTTTGTTTCTATAGTTCATAACCATTTATTCTATTGCTTATTAAGTATATTTTTGAAAGATGAAATTTCCTTATTTTACTTTGAATCAGATTTTACTTTTGTCTATGCTTACCCTCATTTAAAGGTGTCAAGTAAGATTCATATCAATATTATGTACATAATTTGTTATAATATCTCATTATGTATGTTTAAAAATGTACCTACTCCATAAATATCGACACCATTTTATCACACTCCGCGGATTATCCTTACCCTGACCTCTTCATGACTAATAGCTTAATTAAATCGTCGGTTTCCGAGGAGGACCTGTCCTCCTAGGAGCTTTTAAACTTATCAGAGGTCACCTCTGATAAGATAGATGAATCTCTGGTAGGAAAATTACTAAAAACCCTAACAGAGGATGTAGGAACATTCCACGTCCAAGTGGAGTTGAAGGATAATGAGATAATGGAGGTGGCCAGTGCTATAGTGCCGGCCCCATTAGAAAAAATGGAAGTGGACGAAATGAAAAAGCCAGAAATGGTTATGTTGGGAAGCAGCCTATCGCATTCTGGACTCGACCAGACGGAGAGCGGGGACCACGGGCCCAAGGACTTGAGGCCTGCCACGTCGAGGACGACAAAGAATGCGAAGAGGCACAATAGGAGGAGGGCAAAGGCCCTATATCTACTGAACCCACAAGAAGAGAATAGGCCACCTGTAGAGAACTCTGCTGAGGAAGCAAGGGCCCCAAAAGGCCTGGCGGACCATGCAGAGAGTCTTGAGAGGGAGGCCTTAGATCAAGGGCAAATCACCAGCGAATTGGAGCCTACTCAAAGGATGCAAAGGCCCCAAAAGGCCTGGCTAACGAAGCTACCCCGCTGGAGAGGAAAGCTCCAATACCACAGACAGGGGATGAGAAGGACACACACAAAAGGCCAGCATCTAAGTTTGCGAGGCCTCAAAGGTGGAGGTCCAGATCAAGACTGCCTGTGGAAAAAAGAGCAAGAAAATCCCTAGGAGCCTCAGCTATAGCAGCTAAAAAACCGAGGGAGGCTGAAAGGCCCAGAAACTACGCAAAGGTTGTAAAAGGATAGTTGGTCGCGGTAGTTTCTACCGACTACCCGCAGATCCAGCTCACTTACGGCCAATGCAAAGAATTAAAGGAAGCAATCGCCAGTAAAATTGACGAATTAACCATAGGAGTAGACATACATCCAAAGTTCAACGGGGCACTCTTCAAGCTTGGTGGATGTCTTGTATCCTGCCTAGACGACCATACAGTAGATTGGTTCAAAAAGATAACACCGAGCATCACAATCAAGGAAGGTTTAACCCTACGAGCTTGTGAGGCAGGTGACTTAACAAAAATCATCAGGATTGGAGCCTTATTTCCAGGAAAGGCCCTACCTGCTGTATACTACTTAAACCGGCTCCAGATCCAAAATCAATCTATAACTGGAATCAACACCTGGACCATGTTTAACTTCAAGGCTCTGGAAAGAGGATCCTTTGGAGTATTCAATATACCAGAGACCAGCCTCCAGAGCCTCACTTCACATGGAACGCAGGCCTGCTGTGGAATCTACGTCATAACCTTCAGGCACTTGGCGTCAGGAAGTAAGCCTGCTCCGGAGGAAATGCAGGAGGAGGCGCCGAGAGCAGGCATATCTAAGGAAAGGGAGAACAGGGTTGAGGCCGTCGGCCGGGTCAGGAGGCGGGGCCAAGCCAAAGGAACCAATGAAAACTGGCTACAGAGGCTAATCCCGGCCACTGCCGCGGTCTGGTGGCCAGACCTCTGTCTCGCGGCACTCTTCAAACACTGGTGGGGGTTCGAAAGCAAGGTCGAGCGGTGGGGAGAAACCAAAGGACAAGGTGAAAACTGAGTCTGATGGAGGAACCCTACCATCGGCCCCGTCTGGAAAACCACCTTCCAGAAAATAACCATCCAACCAAGTATGAAACTGCTGCAGATCAATATCCACCACTGCATTGCGGCATGTGGTGTATTGCAACAGTATATAAAAGGTAAGGATATTGATGTTATCTTAATTCTTGAACCTTACCTATATGAAGGCAAGATCAAAGGATTTAATATGCATGGGCATGGAATAATTTCTGCACCCACATATCCTAGAGCCTGCCTACTTTATACAAACAAACTAAAACTGCTGCCTCTATGGCAGCAGCCAAATATACCCATCAAGGGTACAATCGAACAACAATCATAGCGGCGGTATATCTGCCATATGAACATCCAGAACCCGCAGAGGGAATGGATGAATTACTAAGGTGCAATGAGGAAATTGTAGCTTCCCTGGATGCTAACGCACATAATGAGATCTGGGGAAGCACAAACACTAACTCTAGAGGTGAAAAACTCTTAGAGACTATAATTAAATATGATCTTGTTATTCTGAACAGGGGGAACAAGCCTACCTTATGTAATAGAACTAGAACAGAGATCATAGACATAACACTAGCGACTCGATCGACTAGTGTTCTTATAGACAACTGGCATGTCTCTGATGAAGAAACATGCTCGGATCAAAGGTATATCAGATTCGATATATCTGACAGAATACAACATGATGTGGAATATAGAGATCCCAAATGTACAGACTGGGTGTCCTATAGTTCTAACTTGGAGGCGGCTGTTAAATGCTGCCCCAAAGTTATCCACAATACATGGCAACTGGAATGTTTAAATAATTCAATTACTGATGCTATTACTAGAGCATATCTGACCAGTAATGAAGCTAAAAAAACCACAACCAACAGGAAAGTGTCCTCGTGGAATGGTAGTCTAACAAAGCAAGGAACACTCACAAGGAGATTGTTCAATGCTGCTACCAATTACCAAATGATCAAACTCTTACCGTCTTCGATGAAACAGAGGTTGCTTTCTGCTTATAATCAAATTTGGGAGGATGCCAAGGTTCCTCCTGATTGGCGAAATATACTCATATTCCCAATAGCCTGGTAAAGATGCACTTCAGATCACTTCATACCGCTCTATTGCTCTCATCTCATGCAGAGCCGAACTATATGCCATTCTTAACACCATAATATACAGAGAAAACACATATATTAACCAAAAAATAGTTATTCTGACAGACTCAGCAACGGCATGTAAACACCTAAAATTAATCTACCAAAATAAAGCACTGACACACATTTCCTTTAAAATTATATCTCTGATACACAACGGCAACAACAATTACTTTTTCCAGTGGGTGCCGGGACACGTAGGAATATCAGGAAATGAAATGGCAGACAAAACGGCAAATCAAAACCAACTACATCGAATAAACGCGAAGGTCCCTTTACTGGATTTGATAAGAGTAGTGAGGGGGAAAATAATGAAAGACTGGCAGCATTTCTACGACTGGGAATGTGCCTCGAAGGGTAAGGACCATCATGCAGTTCAACAGAAGATAGCACTGGTTCCATGGTTTGCGGCCCTTAAATCTCATCTCGACCACTTCAGCTTAGTAAAGCTGACACGGCTTAGGATAAACCACGGTAGAACAAATAAATATCTTCATCTAATGGGTCTAGCTAAGAGCAGTCAATGCCCAACATGCCAATGCTTGGAGGATCCAAGACACATTGCCTTCAAGTGCAAAAGGTTCGAAAAACGAAGAATTAGTTTAGGGTTGCAAACTATGGATGATGGAGCTAACTTTCTTCGGTCGATGAACAAAGATAACGCCCGTGACTTGTTAAAGTTCATGAATGGCATCAAAGCAGTCATATAATAAAAGTCGGCACTTATTCTCACTTAATTGTAATTCTAATTCATCTCAGTTTTTAACCATTAGTCTAGCTAGTTTCCATAATATCTAATATCTAATAATATATCTAATATCCAAGTCCCATATAAGTCACCCTAACATAGAATAAGTTTCCTTTAGTACCTTTTCTCTACTCTTTATTGTTATTTACCGACCTCCTCATATCTGATTTGATCCCACTCTCGAATCCTCCCTCCTTACATATATTCCTCTCTTCGAAAATATTATTATTACTGGTGATCTCAACACCAACCTCCTTTCAAATACTCCGGACAGAACATATCTTACCGACATACTTTT